AGATTGTGGATACTAATAGAAAATGCAAACAGTCACCCGAGGGATGAGGCAAGTCATATGCTGAACCAAGACCACGACATATCTAAGGATGGGCTAGTGGTTTGAAACGTTGGAGAGGCAAAAGAAAACAAGCATCTGGGCGTCAACGAACGAATTTGGTTCTATGAAAGCATCCCCGCGGCATCAGTAAATCAAGCCTTCTGGCCTTCCCTTTGGCCATGACGACACACCGTCTGTCTCCCTCTACACCGCTGGTCGGATATGTTATGTCCTAACAGTTGCTCCTCCGAGTCATGGATGAAAGAAGGCTGGCCTTGTATGAATTCTCATATATCCATCCATCCTAGAAAACTCCCACTCGACCGCCCCTCGACCACCATCCGCCTAAAAAAAGGCCGACCAACCTTAGTAACCCACGCCGGTTAGATATTTAACGAGGTTCACGGTCACCGATGACGCGTTGCCGGCAAAAGTGTTCTCGTCGTGCCAGGTAATGATGATGGCCTGATTCGACTTTGCGATGTAGACACCCTCCTTGCCCTGCAGTTTGGACCTATGTATTAGCGAAAGTGCACATGGGAGAGTATGATGGGGTCATGGGGAGTCGATGGTTAGGAAATTGTACCTTGCGGGCATAGATGCCCTGTTCTGCGCCTCCCGCGACCACGTAGCGCACACCAGCGACGTAGATGCCTTCAGCTCGGGCATGGTCTAGCATCGGGGTCGAGTCCGCGCCGAGCTCCTTGATAATTTGGCTGATGGTCTTGAGCTCATCGGGGCTGATCTACAGTAAGAGACGTTAGGCTATGCTCGGTTGTATTGCGGGTGCTGAGACGGGATATTGATGTTGAATGAAGATATGGCTGGTCGGCGGTGGGATGGGCGTCGCTTCTTACCGCGAAACCAGGCGAATTTGCCCAGATGCCGTCGCCGGCGATGCTAGCGATGCAGGCTTTCTGGACGTGGCCGGTGGCAACCAGGCTTTGGGTTGCGTTAGTTATACGGAACACGGTATCGTCGAGAATGCAGTTTCAGCGGCAGTGGTGGTTCGATGCGTACCTCGTGTCAACGTAGGCTGTAACAGTAAGCTCTGTGTCAGCTCCCCCGATCCAAGATCCCAAGCAGAAGTGGGGTTTGTTCGTGATGGTGACAGCTTCGTACCTTGCCAGGACATGATGGGCGCGGGGTTTTTGTGATGCAAACGGGCTGATGAAATGAAGGAAGCCGCAGGAGAGCGAAGGTGCGCGGGTATGAGCAGTAGTTTGTTGGTGGGCGATTTAGCGGTGTTGCGGAACTTATCGGTGGACGGGTTCAGGTTTGGTCTTTCAACTCCTCGGTACCCCGCCAGCTTGGGCAGATTCCATCACCGCGAGGAGGGGTTAAATTAGTTTGCATTATGTAAGCTAATTAACCGTTCCACAACCAGACCGCCAACTTGCAAAAAGCCCGCCATTTCTCTTCACCGTTTGTTTTGTTGGAGCCTCAGGTCCCGCATTTTCCCAACAGCGGGAGCAGCCGCGGCGGGTTTGGCGGTGGCAATGTCCCAATCAACAGTTGGCATCACGCTTAAGGAAGACTAGGTACGAGAAAGCTCAACAACACGCCGCAATCCCGGTGCCGGACCATTTGGTGCCCCCGACAACCGCCTTCTCTGTTTACTTACTTTTACTCTCAGTCCGGGGCGCCGGATGCGTCAGGCTGACATTTTAACCGACATTCAAGGGGTCCCTATTTCGTGCGGTACACTACTGTCTCCCATATCTTCGGTGTCGCCGACACGCAGCCTCGATGATGCGCGGGTCGAAGAAACACGCGGTCGCAGCTTGAGGCTGCTGGTACGACCCCGAGACAATCGCAGGCAGATCACGCAAATTAAGCTGTTCCCATTTCACCAGTTCGATTCGCTTGCTCAAACAAGTTCTAGAAGGTGAAGAAGCCCCAGGATTTACCCGTCCAAGCGGGCATTCGTGCCATGCGATCTTGCACATACACGAACCCGATCTTCCCGCCTTCATGATACTTGGCATCCCTTGGCCATTTCATCCTCGTGTACGGTAAAAGCTGCCACAAGCCAAAGCCAACAGGCGGTGACATCCAACTCGCTGTCTGTGGAGATTTGTATTTCTGAGACGCGGCTTTCGCAGTTCGACCCCTGTCTTTTCTTCGGTACCGGTGAATCGAAGATCGGACGGCGCTTGGCATTCGCTTCCGTTCCCGACAACATCAGACAATCGGAACGAACGCGACACGCGACCTGTTGGCGGCAAGTAAATAACTACCTAACTAATCCGCGGTCCCGACTGATTGACTCGATGTTTGCGAAAGTTCATTGACAAATCATTCCGAAACCCAACCGCTGGGCGTCTCCGGTAGTTACTCGCAATTTGATTGTTCGAGAAACAGTTGCTGTTGCGGATTCGAGTTATCCCGTCTTGCCACTTCCAAGTTGTCTGCTCTGATCCTGGGGTCCTCTAATTTCGACAGCGTCGCAGAGCTACAGCAAGGAACCGCGGGACCGCACTCCCGCAGTATGATTGCGAGAGATCTTGGTAGGGCTTCGGAACCTTCCAGTGCTTGGCGTTCAGACATCAGAAACGCCCCGCTTTTCTAGCGGGGCCGCCCCTTGAAGGGGGTGCTTCATTAAAAGAGCTCGAACACGCGCAAGCCTAACTTTTAACGTTAGCGTTGCGATCAAGGTGAGGCGGGTGTTGCGTTTCATTCAGGGACGACTGGGGGGGGGGATTCATGGCGAGACAAATGGGCTGTACTGTGTAGGAAGCACCACAGTCCACCTTGTGTCGTCAAGCCAGTTTTCGGAAATGATCATAAAAGGGTTTGGTTAACTATTGAGCCTATTTCAAGGAACACGCTGCTTCCCGACCGGCGGTGCATGCATGCCTCCGTCCTCTATCGGGTCAGCAGTGTAACCGCAAAACGGGAGGCTTCTCAGCTGATGAGATCGGCTCGGAGGCTTCTGGAAAAAAGTATCACCCCGGTCACCTCAGTGCCCAGTCTACCCCAGGATCCCCCGCACAGGGGCTCGCTGTTGCACCCCTCGATCGTTCGAAAGACCAGGGACGGAACATGGCTCTCTGCCAGGGCCAGGAGGACATGTCCATGAGCAACCCCCCCTGCTGGCGATCAACCTCGCTCAGAATACCCGCCGTGCTTCTCAGACCAACATTGCTCTCCGGGCTCGGGAAAGCACAAAGATGTGGTCTCCAAGAAGTCGGAAAAGACTTCAGGCTCAGCTCAACTTCGTCTCGAGTGAGATGAATCCGCGAGCGGAAGGTAAGTATGTAAGTATGTAAGTGGTAATCTCCCACCGTCTTCCACTCAGGACCCTTCCTGAGCCCTTTCGTTCTGTTTCGCCATGAGCCTGTCACGAGGCTCCCGTTTTTGTCATTTGTTCTCTTGCGTTTTACGGCCTCCGCCATTTCCAAAGGGTGGTTCGCGTTCTCGATTCGTCAACGGGATTCTTCCGTGATTAGACAACGATACTTCGAAACCATCCGAAGGGCCAGGCCCCGTTCCTTGCAACCTGCTGTGAGAGTCAGTGGGACGACGGGGAGCATCCCCTGGTAGTTTCTTGGGTGGGTGCAGTCTTGGTGGTGCAGTCTACCGAGATTCAACGGGCACCATGATGAAAGCGGTAAGGCGCCACAACCGGCTGTGGGCAGGAACAGGGACGGGTTCGGCGACCGCGGTGGATGTGGTTGCGGATGAGGAGCCCGCAAATGACCAGAAGAAGGAGGGGGGGCACGGTCCAGCAGCCACCACTACCCTAGGCCAAGGACATGGTCGTGTATCAGATCTTACCCTGCATCCACAGGATGCCAGCAGACGGAACCGACACCCACTTCAAAATGCCGACATCCCCCCCGTCACGTTTTCCGGAGGGAGGAACCCTTATCTCGACGCGCCCTCTCCCTCCCCCGCCATCGAGAAACATCGCCGGCGCACCCAACAACACAGCGCCGCTCAGCATGCCAGCGAGACCCAGCACATCTTCAGGGCCTGGCTCCAGCAAATCGGGCGCCACGAAGTCTAGGCTGGACAATAGGCTGTCCAAGGACGACATCGCCTTGACAAGGGCCGGAAAGGGTCAATATCCCATACCAACAGCTCTCTGGTTACTCACACCGGAGCCCAGTCCCCACAGGTCACGGATGGCATCTCCGTCGTCCGCCATGTCGCCTCCCGCCATGCTGCCTACACCCCAATCTTCGGCTTCCGGGGAAATCCAAATCGGAATGGCGTTGGGGAGCCCAACCCAAGACTCAACGCCGTACTCGGGAAGCCCACAGGCCGGGTGGTTACCCCAAACACAGACATCAGTCCGGGCCCACCCTTCTCCCCAGCCAGTGCAGACACCGGAACCCACAGTTCAGCGGTCCAAGACGCAGAAGAGACGGCTGTTTGGTTTATTTGGAAGCAGAAAGCACGCCGAACCGCCCAAGGCCATTGGAAGCGCCGAAGCAAATCGTAGCACCTCGTCCGTCACACCAACCGTATCCAATGATTCGTCCACCCCAGCCAGAAGCAACACTGTTGCCGGAAGGAAGACGCCGAAGCACAAACCCATCGTCATCAGGTCCATGACAATGTCACAAGCGGACGCCGTGGTTCCACAACCAAACATGCCGGTCGTCTCGGCACCCATTCCCTCCACATCTACGGGCGGTGCCGGGTTGCTCAACATCGACATCCCGGACATCAGGCTGGAGCGGTATAGTGTCATGTTTAGTGGCGTATTGAACCCGAATGGGACTAAGTCGTCGTTGTTGGAACGGCGCCAAGCAACACTAGAGAAGCTCAAGACCATCAGTGACAGGATAGAACATCTCGAAGAACAGGACAAGACGAAGCCACGCAGAGCCACCTCGCCGCAGCCCATGAAGTCCCCTGCGTTCACCCTCTTCCCGCAGACACCTAACCGGCAGTCGGGGAGCATCGCCGCCACGGGAATAGGAATGGCCTCCCAAACATCACTGGCGCCCCCTCGCGGCCTCACGCGTTCCAACACCTCGCCCGCGTATCTCCCGTCACCGTCCAGGGCCAGCTTCGAGCCGCCCCCGCAGGCCTCGCCGGAGCAATCGAGGAAGGAAAGGAAGACGGTCACCATCGTCTCGCCGCGGGCCATGGACGAGCGCAACCGCGCCGCGCAGGTCGAGAAGCTGCGCGAGCAACAAACGCGACAGGCGCACCAAGCACGCCTCCACCCGGAAACGGCCGCCCTCTCCACAACCACCTTCCACTTCCACCCCAACGAATCCAGCCTCATCCTCGACTCCCCACAAAGCGCCACCTCGTCCTCTTCCTCCTCATCTCAAGACGACCCCGAACACCCCGCAACAATCACAACAACGAAAACAGCAGCACCTTACCGCCATCCAGCCCTCAAACCCACCCTCCACGAACCCCAATGGGAGATCATCACCC